TTTTCCTCATGATATTAAGAATTAAATTTAGCTAATATTTTATTTATTTATTGTAATGTTCTTTATTGTAATTACCTTTAAAAAATGGATTACAAACAATAAACTTATACATATAAGCTGACCCGGCAAAAGTTGTTTAGCCATATAAATGTTAGTTACATTAAAAATGTTAAATGTTAATTATGATTATTTAATGATAATCCACAAAACTGTTATTGACTAAGTTCCATTCAAATTTTGTACATTTATTTCGTTTTTGTTAAGCATGTACTGGCATAAAAAAGAATAATAAAATAGACAATAATGACAAATATCTACGTATTCTAGAAATATCTACATAAGAAATTATTTAATATTTCTATTTTTATTTCATTTCAGTTTAAAATTATTAGCACTTTTAAACTCTTCAAATTTTTATTGGTATTTTAAAGTGTAGGTTTGTGAGTAGCAGTAGTTTTAGCTTTTTATTTTCGCTTCGAGTACATAACAAATTTAGCAATGATTAACGTGCGGCTGGCCAAAATTATGAAATATTTTTTTCTATTATTACATTTCTTATCGTTAATTTCTATCAATAAATCTTTTGTTTAGAATTTAAGCATAATTACCATTTTATCTATATATATAAAAGTTCCGCGTAACGATGTATGTTCGCGGTAAACTCCAAAACTACTGAACCAATTTTTATAAAATTTTGTAAGCACTTGTAATTTGGTCCAACTTGGGAGATAGGGTAGTTTTTATCTCAATTATTGATCTCAATATTTGTTATTGCCAATTATTTGTTTATTACATGTCAAAGAGCTATCTGTGAGTGCCATAAGATTCTAACAGATGGCGGTGTAAGATAAATTTATCGGCTGGATTGAGTAAGAATCCGATAGATGGCGCTACGCTTAAAGTAGAATTGTATGGACCCGGTAGAATTGGGCCAGCTAGTATAAATCTATAATTTTTAGGATTATTCGTAATTAGTTGTGACTGGATAGGGTTGATGCATCTTTGTAGATAAAAAGCCCATAAAAATAAAAGCGTAAATTAAAAATTAGCAAATTCACCATAAAATACCAAACTTTATGGCTATGGTTACATACTGCTGTTAAGTATAACAGCTTTTCATTGATCTTTTGAAATTTTATGATACGTCGCTCTTTCAACAACTTTGGAAATGAATGTTGGTTTTATTATTAGATAATAAGGTTAAAAGAGTTATGAAAGAAATTAAAAAAAAAAGTTTCGGTTGTATTTGCAATAAATTCAATCTTCAAATAGATAAAATATTTGACATTGAACGTTAAGGTAATTGTTTTTAAAAATGAAAATGTTTCAAAGCAATTTTATTATTTTAAATGCGATCTATGTACGTATATACCTAAGCTTAATAACAAAAAAGTATTAATCTGTAAAGTGATAATTAAATAATTTGTAAGTTTCCTTATAAAGCGGAATGAGTGATATAAATGACATCGTCTGTGGTTCTGGAATGTTACATCGGCGTGGGAAGTTGAAATGTGTGGATAGTTAAATTAATTGAACTCGCGCTGTAACGTACTTATATTGGCTTCGTTTCATGGTCTCACTGTGATGATATACGGATCAAAAAAGGGTTCTGGATCAACAAGGTCAACTGCCACATAAATATCTAAAGCTGTTTAAGTACGGGTCCTAAAATTAAATTAATTTTTTATTAAGAATTGCTTTATATCACCCGATATAGTCTTAACTGAATCGATGTTTAATAGTTTTTTTTATAAACTAATTTACTGTAGTAGAGTTACAAAGCTAATTCTGCACTGTATTAGAGTTACAAAGCTAATACTGCATTTGATTCGTTTTCAATCTCCGTAAGTATGACCATGTGTCTTACTATCGTTCCTAACTTTATTAGAGCACTAACCACTCACTATTATTTTTTAAATTCCTTTTCTACTCCGTCTCATTTATCGCCTCATTTTCAATATCTTAGTACAATCCATCATCAAAAACTTCGCTTGACACATAACCATCTTCTCCAATGTCCTTCTCATCGTACTGGTTTCATGCATTCGTCTTTCTTTGTTCAGTCGATTCTTTTGTGGAACGCGCTGCCTCTCAAAATCAGGACAGCTAAAAGTCGCTCCGCATTTAAAAGAAAATCTCGCCAGCACTTCCTTAAAAAATTGTCAGCAGATTCTCTGGATCATTAAAAATAAAAGTATGTATATTTCATATTTATTTATACAGCGTGTCTTTACAATCGCGATAATAAATGAACACACATATAGAGGATAACTTTTTAAAATTGTAATAAACATTTACATTCCTTAAACATCAATCTTTACCGAGTTATTAAATTTTTCAAAACAAAGAATTTTATTACTATTTAGAACAGCCTTACGTATAAAACTGTAACCTAAAGTTCCTTTGTAAAGGTCACAAAGCTTATGAATGGGTTGAATGAATTTAAAAGAGACAAAACATAGTTTTACAAGGAGAGGCTTGTAATGCGACGCTGTGGCAACGAATAAAAGTCTCTGAATGTATGAATCAGTCAGTTGTAGTTGTATAGGATGTTACAAATTTTGTTTCTTTTTTACTTAATTAGTTTCTTTGCAAAATATTTTTTTAATTATGGATTTTTTCAACGTTAATATTATTTTTATGATTATTGGCAAGTAGCGTTAGACGTGTGTTCAATTATTATCGCGGTGGTAACGACACGCTGTATATGTATGTGTGTATATTTTGTTTATGTATTGTGCATTAATATGTTTATTTTATTTTATACATACGTATGGTATTGAATAGTATTATCTGATATTATTAGTGTAGTATTTTTAATAGGTTTAATATGTAATGTATACATTTTATAATTCTAATGATCGTTTTTTTTTAAATTGGTAATAAATGCACCTACCTTAACTTTTCTGTACCGTCCCAAGATTGACTGGGAGATAATGCTGATGGCATTAAGGCCGCCTTTTTACATTAATGTTTGTGCATAAAGATAAAATAAATAAACAAATAAATAATTCTTTTTGCCGTAGCCAACTCTTTAAAGTCAAAGCATCTGCCAACCCACAGGTAATGATGTGCAAGGGTGACTTGACATCAGAGAAATCACCAGATAATCACCTTCGAAATTTTGCTTTATTTTGCCGTATTTGACAATTAATAAGGCTTGTCACCAAAAACTCTGCCTAGGGACAGTTGGCAAGTACAGTTTTAATTCCAAAATTAGCCACAAATTAAACAGTGAATACCAAAACTTTGAGTTATCATGGAACAGAACATTTCAATTTCCAAGGAACCGATCAATCTAGCTTGGTCTTAGCATGTCTGTCAGACTTTACTTACGACGATTAATACATGAAATGAGACATGTAATCCTCCAGGCCGAAATATATTATAATATATAAAAGATAACACTTATTGGAAAATAGACAAAGATTTGAGAAAAAGTAGGTAACATATTAATATGAAGACAAATTTAAAAATTGGCCTCCCTTCTAGGTGCAGTTTATAAAAATCTATACCCAAAACGAGTAAATATCAATTTAAAAATATTAAGAGATTGTACATAAATATTTCTAACATTAACTGAAATTAATCAAACACAGAAAAATAATCTGCCGCCTTTAATGTCTGCCACGTAACGCGATCCTGAACTGAGCAGCAGAGATGGCGCCAAGCATTGCTAAAAAAAGTAATAGAAAAAACGTTGACAGATCTTGAGATTTGCGCACCGTGAGGTTTTCGGCCAAAAAAGGCGTAAAACCAGATGACGCGAATCCCGCGGCGCCGAAAGTTTTTGTTCATTTATCCATAAAAAAAATTATAATTAAAAGGTTTATGATAAAAAATTATTCACAGTAAACTAAAACTCTCGTCTTAGAAAAGGCGAATCAAAATTTTGTTTTATGTGAAAATTGTTTTTTAATTTGATTTATTTCGTATTTATCGACGACCCGATAGGCGTGGGGAGTACTGACCCTGCCTTCTGCGCCAAAGGGTGTGGATTCGATCACTACTACTGGAAAAATATTGTGTGATGAACATCGTGCTTTTCCAGTGTCTGGGTGTTTATATATGTATAATATGTATTTATTTACAAAAGAAAAGTATTTTTAAGTAAGTTTATCAGTTTTCTAGTATCTATAGTACAAGGGTTGCTTAGTTTGGGACTAGAAAACGTTGTGTAAAATATGTGTCCGACTTATAGAGCGCCCCATGGCACCAGGCGCTTAGAGCCAACGCGCCTCTTGCTCTCACCCTGGGCCGGCACTAAGTTGAACAACAGAAGCATGAACGTCCTTCAAAGTATACTTTCTTATTAAAGGTTTTTATGTTAATAAAATATGCTAATATAAGTTAATTCATATCTATGACGACAATTCATTTCACAAATTAGAGTAAGTGGTTTAAATTTTTTTATGGAGAACTTACTGTCGTATATCGTCTAATGTGATCAAGCAAGGGGTTCTAAAGCGATGAAGCGTTGACAATAAAGGAAAAGCTGTTGCACGAATGGGGCTTATCTGTGGAAGTACCACGGCCTCACAGGAGACCGGCGTGACGTGGCAGTATTAAACTTTAGCGTTTCGTCTGGTGAGTGAGATAATCGGGGCCCACATTATTAAAAGGTTGTCAATGCATCAGCAATCACGACACCATCGGATGTTGTAGATGTCGGAGTGCAGCATATAATGCTCATAAGAATATCATCACCGAACTGCATTTGGATACTGCTATGAATGACTTAGGTATACACAATATTTGACGTTTTGGGATTGCGGCCATCATTGTTTGACACACCGCCCTTTACATTTATTATTATTTCTTGTATTTATGCATTCACTATAAAACCGATAAAAGCTGTGTAATCTTTAACAGCTATTTATAACAAATCTTCTGTTTTGTATCGCACCACGGTGACTGGTGATAAATAAAATCGCGTGCGGTTTCGTAGCGGTTGTAACCAATTAGGACAACGAGTACGCGCCGGGCCAGGTAAAGGTTTGATGAGCGTAGCGCCCAACCGTAGCGTCACCGTAGCGGGCGGGCGGAGCGAACGCTCAGTCCGCGACCGGCATCCGATGCGTGCGCGCATGAAAGCTAAGGTCCGCGTCGCACTATCGTAATGTTGATTCGCGCGCGTGTTTCGATTGGATTGACATTTGACGGCTGCAAGTAGACGACTGAAACACTCGGTTCTTATTATCCTTATATATTATATAAATGTATCAGTTCAGACTGGGCTTGATGACAATGGTTGTTTCGTCGTGACGGTGCGCAAGAGTGGGCTTGACGGCAGAGGCCGGTGGGCACAATGAGAGCGCCGCTGAATTGGCACAAATGGCTAGTGTTGTCGCTGCTCGGATTGGCTTTGTCCGCTTGGCCAATTGGCTGCGATTATAGTTCCATCACCGAGAAATTTGGAGCGGAAGCCGTTGCTCGATGCAATGAGAAATGCCCGTTCCAGGTTCGCGTTTGTATTCAATAATTTCTAGTCAATAATAACTCATTTGCATGTATGACTATGTCAGAATTTTTTTAGTTAATGTTCCCCTATTATAATATCAATAACATTTAATATATGACATTAAAGTATGAAAGAAAGCTGAAATGTATTGGCAAATTTATTTCACTTTTTAATTAAAAACCGTACACTTAAACACTGATTGAACTGATTAGAGTTCAATCAGTGTTTAAGTGTACGGTTAATATGATCAATATATAAGGACGGTTTTGAGTTATGTGCTGTTTGCTGAGATGTTATGAATTTCTGTTTAACTAGAGATAAACCAACAAAACGGAAGAATTAGCGTTAATTTACTGCTTTAAGTAGGAAACGAGCAAGAACTACTAGAGGAGAGACCCACACACGAAGCTGTATTAAAATTACAGTGTACATATTTACATATATTTGATAGCCGTTTTGTAATATATTATGTATTATACTATAATGTACGAAATATTTTTAATAATAGTTAACTTTTTTGGTAGAAAGCCGTCAAACAGTATTTTTTATGAAGAAATCAAATAAGGACTATTGCTATGCCTTAATCATAATAAAAATATGTATATTTGTATAATGTCGAAAGATATTACAAATGCAACAATAACAATTTAACAACAATAACACTATTAGTTTTTTTTACATTGCTGACGTCGCATATACTATAGTAATTGCATACAATCTCAAATACTTAAAGCATCAAATACTAAGTATACAAAATAAACATAAACCTGTTTTCCTGTAATAAACAGTGACAGTAGAGGTGATTGGTTCCTTCACTTTTTATCAAACATGAAATAAACAAAGCAATAACGATTGAATAATTGTTTACAATATCAATAATATACAATAACAATAAATAATAAAAAAGCTCATATCAAGATTATTGTTTTTAGTCTGTTCTTGCGTCCTCGCTTATCTCTTTTATTTAAAAAGTAAAAACAATGCATGATATAATGAAATATTATAAACATCTATATAAAGAGTATGAAACCCATATCATTTATGAATTGTATACAATAAGGAGAATAAGAGTACTTTTTACATTAATATTGTAAAAGTGTTGACATGCTAAAATATTCATATAATATACAATATATTGTATACAGAATTAATAAGATCAGTGAATCCTCTGGTTATCAACGCATTATACCATGTGAGTTAAAAATCTAAAAAATAAGGAACTTACTAAAATACCTGTTTATTTGAACAAGTACTCACTAATGAATAATCATCATGTAATAAACAAATAGCTATTTGTGTTAACTAAAAATAGATAATTTGCTATTGTTAATTAAAGAATTGAAATCAATTTCGACCTTAAATTTACTTGGAGTTCAAATCCTAAAGATGCCAATTTTTCGCTTGTTTTGAAAATCATCAACCGTTTGAACTAATCTAATCTAATTATGATCTTGTGTGATCTAAGTGCGCTTGATAGATCAACACATATGCTGAATTGACACCGATATCGTTCCATTGATGGGCGAGCAGTTGTCGAGCGGTTGTCAGCAACGCGTTGCAATAGTCTCCAGTGGGATTGCTTGCTTGGTCAGGTTCAACGTTCATCTAATTGTCGGCAATTAACGGTCCGCTGTGATGAAAGACAGTGCTAAATATAGACCGTTGTTTTTACACAACATGCATTGTCCTTCGCTGTACTTATGTTAAACCCTTGGAATGCGCATATTCACTACAACGAATCAAATAAATGATTAATTAGATAGATTGGCGTGGTTCTAGGTTCGGTCCCGATATCGGACACGGCGACTGATTTCTATGTTCGGAATACGATGAAAAACGTAACTTTCAGACCTATTCGACTATTGCGAGAGCTTTTATAAGTACAGTGAAAATAATCGTTACAGCTTTTTCTTAATACGTTGTACTTATCATGTAGCGTACGTAGCTTTTATAAGTTCTTTAATATAACACGACGATACAGCTTCCTAAATAGTTTTAAAACCTAATTCACAATAACAGTGTAATTTATTTAAGCTGTAAATAAATAAACTAAATAATAATATCGATAATGACATTGTTTTTTATAGCATTTATTAAAAGTGGACGGTGTTTTTTATTTATATTTATCATCATCATTATTGTAGTTTGTAAGAAGTCTTCTGCTGAACTTAGCCTTCTCCAAAGATTATATGACTAGGATATCACATTGTACTAACACTGAAATAAGGTCTGGTATTATATAATTTTGTATTTAGAGCATTATACAAATTTAAATAAAAAATATATTTAAATCTTTATCCCACTTAAATGAAATTTATGTCGAATATATGTCGAAAATTTAATACCTATTCAAATAGAAGCAGTAAAAATACTTTCACAACCTTAAGACTGCTCTAAGTTACCCCAAATTAGAACTGTTTAATACTCATGTTATTTCCTATAAAATCTTATTAAAAGGCTCGATGTTATTTTTCTATGAAAAATATCCCCAAAACGTAACCACAGGTATCGCGTTTCGGCACTGAAGCCGTACTGGTACAAACGAGTTCCGGTCACACGCTCGCAAAAACTACTCACGAGATATGTAAGTGATATTATAACACTCCGGTCAAATATGCAGTGATGATAGAACATTCTAGTTGCAGTGGAGATGCTACCACACTACGGCTTAAGTTTTTTAGTCACCTCAAGATATAGCCTCTAGCTAGTAGTAGGGACACGCCTGTTTTTTGTTGCGATTACAGCCTGTATACTGCACAAAATTCAATATCTCTTTCTCATTTTATAATACTTATTAATACCTGACGGTATCATCTAGTGTCGTATTTTAGTAATATTTCAAAATAACGATATAAGGAATTGTGTGTAAATATGTTCATACCCATTTTACGCCTCATGGAACGGGATTTGAACTTTTTAAGGGAGATCGTATATACGCTAGATTAATAGGGATGCTCGAAACATTAATTATTTTCATTTAGACAAGAATCACGGGTAGAAGCCAATGTAAAAAGCTAAAAATTGTTCGGTTGAAACGTTTACAATTATGTGTAGCGACATGGAGGGCACGCTCCGTTGCGCGTGCGCAGTCACGCCGGAAGCCGGTGACGGTGCTCCTCTGATTACGGCTTAATATCCTCTCCTGTAGAACGGCAATTTCGCCCGCTTTCGACAGGAACAGAAAAAAAACGATCGTATACCAAGGTTGACTTTTTTTTCACAGAATCGCACCGCAGACGGCCATTTCGACGTGAACTGCGGCTCTGACTGCAGTGTGCAGCAAGTAAGTTCGTTGTTTAATCTAATCCCGTTTGTGATATGAACTGTTTTATTAATCTTAATCGCTTGGTTCTGAATCGAGATCTGCTTTTGCACCTCCGATCGGAAATGGAGTTCGCAAAGAAGACATTCGCAGTAGAACGTAGGTAACCGACATAGATCGGGTTAGTAATTTGAAGTGGAAATGGGTCGGCCATATGGCTCGAAGAACCGATAACCGCTGGGGAAGAAAGGTTCTCTAGTGGCAGCCTACACGACCCCCCACTAGATGGAGTGACGACCTGTGCAAGTGTGTGGGAAGTCGATGGATGCAGGTAGCTCGGGATCGTGCTTCTTGGTGTTCTGTGGGCGAGGCCTATGTTCAAAAGTGGACTCAAACCGGCTGGAATTAAGATGATTATGACGATGACAGAAATTAATTCCTACGTCTTAAGCACTGGCTTTACAAATCCTGTGAACTCTTTGTGGCAGATCGTCCCATTCTTATGCATAGCAAGTATCAATCGCAGCAGTTTTTGCTAAAAGGGGAGGATACAGAGACTTAGCAGCGGTTTGGTGGCGTGATAGGCGTCGAGAGAGAAACTATATGGCCAGCCACGTCTTGGCATAGGTAGACCAATAAAATAAAATGTTACTTTTATTTGTATTTGTTTAATTTGAACTTGAAAAAGGCCTCTACGGTATAGAATTATGGTAATTACGGTATATTTATATTTTTTATATAAAATAAATCATAGGTAATGTTTATTTTATATAATAAAATTAAAATCGATTCCTATTAAATTTTTCGATAGTCCAAGATACATCTGAAGAATGTCATCAAAGTTAATTTTACTGTTAATTAGGGTTTTAATTAAAATTGAACGGAATACATTTAAAGTAGGGTGAAGACGGATTGATTGAGCACAAACCTTAAGGTCACGTTACCGATCATGAGTTGAGATATGATTAATTAAAGTACCAATACTAATATCAAGTAAGTACCACGGTAAGTTTCACGACTCTTGTATGATGATTAATGACCCTATAGATGAAGGTTGATTTACGAGGTAAATCTACAGCGTCTTAATATATACGCCATGATAATTTTTCTAAAATGACAGGTGATAGCCCTTATCATCTAAAACAAGGCTGCAACGCTTAGAAATTCGAAAAACGGAAACGTAATAATTGGTACATGAAACTGAAATTCGTATTCAGGCCCTAAACATCGCAATTCTGACATCGCAGTATTTAAACCATCACTGATTAAAAGAATCAAGGAAAATGATTGAGAGAATTATAAAATGTAACTTCTCTCGACTGATTCTGTACGTCTTCAACTTGGATTTTAAGTTTTTCCTATTTAGATTGTTTATGCATTGCGAAACTTTGGCAAAAGACGTCGATAAATAATTTTACGCGCGTACGCGTAAAATAATCGTAAACTCAGTGGAGCGATAAGCTGTTTAATATTATATTTATTGTTGTTAACATTCGTCTACCAAAAATTACGACTTGAGGGCGGAAATGTAGTTGTAAAAAAGATTTCAAAGGTTGTTTTTAATACTTTTAATGATAAGAGGTTGCAACGTGTTACAAAAAATATTTATCACTACTATCTGAAAAACGAACTATTTAACACTAATCCATTTATCTGAAAAACTAATATCTCTTTAATGCGAGTCACTGGGTATTAATCTGCGTCTTAATGTCGCTATTATAACCTAAAATCCGTTAGCCATTACAAAGACAGAAATTTGTAATTACTTTCATGCATTACATTGTTTTTTTCATTATGTTTGAGTTAATTTTGTTTGATTAGGAACTTTTTTGAATGTGGGGTTTTGATAAATATTCCACAAAACTTGTAGCGAAATACAAATTAATTTTAATATATTTTTCTGTAGTAAGATAATGTGGGGTATTTACCACATTTTCCAGCACTTGCAGGGTGACCAGCTTCATAACCATCGAATGTAATCATCAAAGTTTATCATTTGTGAATGATAACTCAACCTCAACATTCAAATGAACTGTGACCTAATTCCTGTGATATAGAGCATTTAACGATTACTGTACTATAATATAACAATATGCACTGAGACACAGATTAAATGGTCATACAAACTTGCGAATGCAGAATGCTAAGTTTAAATGCTAAAGTGCAAAATGCTAAAATTACTGACACTGCTTAATTTTGCTGAGAAACAAGTTTGAATTAGTTAGTCAACACGAATCAGAGCATAGAATATCAGTTACACGATGAAAAAGCTGGCGTCGTGTAGCTCGTAATGTACATTTGTCTTCGAATATGGTATACTCGTACCATTTGTTAACTGTGTACTTTGCAAGTTAAAATTTATCTGTATCTATCAACTAAACTTTTGGGACTGTTCTTTAAAAAAAAATTTACTCTGACTTAGTGGCCTTAATCAATTTCAACCAATTAAATAAAAAAAAATTGTTTATTAATAAAACATCAGAATGTTAGAGTTTTAGATCAGAATGTAAATACTTTTACTTGTTTTGAATCGTAATTTGGAATGTACTACTAGCTATAATGAAGTATAAATACTAGTAATAAATGTACTTGAAATAAACATATTTTCTTGACAATGACATATATTAGTTATAAGTAAATATTTGATAAATTTTATTATATTTGATATTTTTTTTTATCAAAATCTTACTTTTAGTTCAATTCCTGACGATACTTATATTCGCTACGTTTATTTTATCTTTAATGTAAAAGTTGAAAGGCATAAAAAAAACTTTATGTTTGTTATCTATCATTTTGGTAGGAACAGTGACATAAAACGGACCATTCTCGCTAACCCTGACAGTTACTACTGGTTAATGTCAAAATTATCAGTTAGGTCCAATTTACGCCACTGCGTTCCCTAAAAGGACGCAAAAACTCATAAGTGGAGAATGAGGGACCGTTTCATGCGACGGTGTATTTTGTTACCATGTAATTGTACGTTATTAGGACAAGTTATAAACCTAAAACGTCGTTTTAAATAATGTTTTTTATCAGTTATTCTTATGTATAATCGTAGAGTTTAAACATATATATATATATATATATATATATATATATATATATATTATTTTTTTCAACTATAAAGCCAGCAAACTTAATTGTATGTTATATTGAAGCCTTTTAATAATATATGTTAGAAATATATGTTATAGTTATATATATGTTAAATATATGTTAATAATATATGTTATTATTTAATAAATGATAGAAATATGCTTCAAATTTTACTACTACTACTAAAACTTACATTTGTCTCCTGATTAATTTATTGTAGGAATTGTCCGAAATAAATTAAAAGTGTGCACTCCATCAATTAAAGTGGAGAATATGCATACTCAATTGACTTGTTTCTCTTTACTTTAGGAAGGTCAATTTGTGTTCTATTGTAAATCATTTAAGTGGTCAGTTATATCTACTTCCTATTGTCAGTTAAATTTATTGCTTACAATTTTATTCTAAACATATTTACGTTATGTTAATAGATTTTAAATGGAAAGTTTTCGAGGATTGTAACAAAAATAGTTACAGATTTTCAGCGTTTAAATTCTTCTAATAGTTTTAGGTTCATGTATTCGTTAAAATAAAAACAAGTAACGTTTTTACAAGGAAACATGTAGAATATAAGGAATAACATTAAATAGCTATTTAAGTAACGACAGTAAATATAAAAAAATAATTTTAGCGTTATAGCAAATAACGGTAGGGCTATTTTTAAACGTACATTTTAGCTGCAATTCCTTGACTGTATCCGTCAACGCTTTACTTGAAAGTGCAACGGTGTTGCATTGGATCTTTCACGGAACAAACACAGGCGATGGCTTATTTATGCGCAGCTTGATTCCTGTCGATACTCTGTTACCGTCGACGCTAATGTATACCTTAAGCGACTCGAATGTATACCTTAAGTTAATTAATTCACTTCCCTCAACAATTGCTTCCTAGAACATCTTCCACACACAGATTTCTTTGAAGAATCATATAAACTTTTTATACTTTTATAATAAAAACTTAACACACGCGTATCACTGATTAATTAAATAAACAAAAGTGAAAGTAAGTAAACCCTATAAATTAATAGCAGAAAAAATTTCATAAACTAATTTAAAAAAAAAGGAAGACCTATAGTTGTGGACAACCGGCTATCTTACTGGATAAAATTTTTCGTAAAATATTGGTATTTCTTACGTATCATGCGTTATACACGCCCGCTGTGACGCTTTTGAATTTTGTTGTTTTGTGTGTGCTCTTTAGCAAATTAGCAACTGAAGCCCTGTCTACTTAATAAAAACTGCATCCAGTCGAAACAGTCAACGCTTTCGTTTTGCGTTCGGAAGTGTTTCTCGGGCGGGGAAGCCCGTTGGTCATCCACCACGGCGTACGAGGTGCGGCGTCGGCGCGGGGGTCGCGTGGGACTCGAAACCGGATGGACGCAGGAAGGAAGCTGCTAGTTGCCAGCCAGCTCCCCTCTATCTATTTTAGAGTTCACTCGTTTCGTTCCGATTATTCGTGCAACTCGGGGTACAGTCGACTTAGGACAACAAGTAGTCGGTTGCCATGGGCGGAGGGAATGTATCGCGAAAAGTTAATATTGTTAGTTCTGGCACAAGAGAATTCGATTATTAAAAAGTTTCTATTATTGATAGTTGACGATGTTAAAAACAGGCAATGTTAAAAACGAATATCTTATATCTTGTATTAGCTAATGTTTTTGCTTTCAGTCCCGAGACTATTAAAGCTTCATCTGACGCAGAACCGGTGGGCTAGCCAGAACCCACGGTTTTGGGTCCTCCGCTGTGGGTAGAGCCACGCATGTGCTCATGCGTGCGTTTAACTATGGTGTGTCATCTAAGGGCCATCGAGGTCGCGGTTCGGACCGAAACCCCGAAATAACGAGTATATACATATGTTACCTTTGACGCCATTACATAAATTTTAAAGCTCTGAATTCAACCAGATAAAAACTATAACATCTTTCAAAC